GACTTCTATGTCAAAATGTTGGCTGTGTTAAGTGGTATAACCAAGTGTGCATGCTCTTCAAGCTTGTAAAGAGTGTTTGAACTATTCAGGGAGGTCAGAGAAGACTTCCCTGAAGACAGGACTGGCAGTAGGCCCAGTGCAAAATGAAAACGAGAGGCCCCTTGTTCAGAAGTATTCCAAGATTGAGAGAGCACAACATTAAACCAAGGGTGGAGCCTTTCTTAGTGCAGGCCTGTGGGTCTGCTCAGGCTACATGTCCATGAAATTGGCCCAACCCGAGGAAGTGATGTTTGAGCAGACATGGGAGGGCAGATTGTTCCAGGGCAGAGGAGACAGACCAAATGAATCTCTAGGACAGGAAGGAATGGGGCTCATTCAGGAACTAGATGAAGGCCAGTGTGGCTGGAGCACAGAGTGGGTGGAGTGAAGTTACGATGAGGTCAGAGAGTAGAGAGAGTTATGTGTAGGCCAACTTGACGATTCTAATGTTTATTTTAAGAGCCACACAAATTATTGTGTATGTTAAGGATAAAGTTTACTTTTTTTCTAATAATACCAGTAACTTGGCTCCTTGACAGCATTAGACAGCATTCTCTCTCAATCCCCATTTCCTACCAGTCTTCCTTTATTTTTTTATTTTTTAAAAATATATTTTATAGATTTTTTACAGACAGGAAGGAAGAGGGAGAGAGAGTTAGAAACATCGATGAGAGAGAAACGTCATACCCCCCACTGGGGATGTGCCCAAAACCAAGGCACATGTCCTCGACCAGAATCGAACCTGGGACCCTTGAGTCCGCAAGTCGACGCTCTTATCCACTGAGCCAAACTGGCTAGGGCCCGGCCTTTTTTTTTTTTTTTTTTTTAAAGAAACTTTTAGCTACACATCCTATATTCTAAGTTTGGCCCTTCTCTAAGGCAGATTTAAAAAGGCATATCAGTGTATACTTTTGCTGGTAGAAACTGAAAATATGATGGATGAATTTTGAAACTTTATTCACTCTTGATTTAGACAGCTCTATGGTAGTTAACCAGAGGAAAGGGGATAGGGGACAATGAAGGGTAAGTGGGGCAAATATATGGTGACAGAGGATGATTTGGATTTGGGTGGTGGGCCCATCATGCAATATATAGATTATGTATCATAGAAATCTACACTTGAAACCTATATAATCTTATTAACCAATGTCACCCCCAATAAATTTAATAAAAATAAAAAGATTAGTCTGTGGTCTAAAACATTTTAGGTTGACTGAAGTAAAATTTGTATGAGATGAAAATGTTTTATTATTGTTTTAAAATATTTTCCTTTTTAAATACTACAGATTTTTAAGGTCTGTTGTCAGCACTATAATTTTCAGTTTGTAATCTGTTACGGAGGGTCAGGAGCAAGGGTGGGTATGACTTGCCTAACCTTGGGAAGAGGAGTGGGGAAGAAGTTATATTTTTGGACTTTGTCTTTCATATAATAGGCATTCTTAATAAAAAGGCTTTAATTAATATTACCCAAACCAAGAAATAGGCTTTGTACTTTGCTATGTGTGGGTAATAATGTTCATGATTCATGGACTTCCTTATGAAGGCAGTTATAGAGCTCATTTTCTAGATAAAAATCTGTATGGTTGATTTGTAGATCTACACAACTTAGGATTTTCACTTTGGATACTCTATCGAATAACATGCTAGTCATTTCTTGTTCCATGTCATGCTTAAAATGTAATTATTTGAGCTGGTTTACATAGGTGACACATTTAAATCAGTGATATCTCTATACTCTCAACTGCTCATGGGTGAGATAGGTAGCTAGTCATTCCCTGCCTCATCTACCATCTCTTGCCTATGGATGCACTGGAATTCCAGGCTGTTAAAATAACACGATTATATAGGTTTCTGTCAGCCTTATTGCCTTCTCTTTTTAAATGGTAGGCTCTAGTTGTGAAGATAGTATCAGATGTTTTGGCAGTTACTTTCCAAGAATTTCTTTTCAATAATAATTTTTGAGTTGGAACATAATTTGCATCTTGAATCAAGAAAAGCATAGCACTTTCACCCCCATTTTCAGCTTTCGGTTCTTAATAGCAGAGCTTTTGGTATTTGTAGGCAACCTCTTTGTTCTTATTTGCAGTTAAGCAATATGTTGCAACATTTCTTTTACTTTCACATATGTCTGTTGTAATAGATCTGAAGAATCCATGGGGTTGATGATAAAATAACTCAACATAACTTATTGTTTATATGAGAACTTGATACTGCAGAGTAGTGAAATAGTTTCTGACTTAACAGAGAACATTTAAATTATATTCAGTATGTATTTAATGCTAAGGGAATGCTATTCCATCATTTATAAAAATTTAAATCTATGTTTCATGTGTACAAAATAGCTAACAAGCAGTTAAAATTATCAGAATATTTAATTAGAACATTTATTACTTTAACATAGTTGATAATATTAAATTCAGTACCAAGGACATTTTTTCCATTGATTTTTTTAGAGAGAGTGGAAGGGAGGGTAGGGAGACAGGGAGGGACAGAAGGAGCGAAAGGAGAAGCATTGTTGTGAGAGTCATATCATTTGGTTGCCTCCCACATGCTCCCTGACTCAGGTCAGGGATTGAATCTGCAACCCAGCTATATGCCCTTGACTGGGAATTTAACCCAGGACCTTTCCATGTGCAGGTTGATGCTCTAACCACTGAGCAACACTGGCCAGGGCAGTTTAGATAACATTTTGATTAGCTAATATTAATATTTAGGGAATAGAGTTTAACCAAAATATCCCTTTTCTTTTTTCTTTTTAAAAATATATTTTATTGATTTTTTACAGAGAGGAAGAGAGAGGGATAGAGAGTTAGAAACATCAATGAGAGAGAATCATCGATCAGCTGCCTCTTGCACATCCCATACTGGGGTTGTGCCCGAAACCAAGGTACATGCCCTTGACTGGAATCGAACCCGGGACCTTTCAGTCTGCAGGCCGACGCTCTATCCACTGAGCCAAACCAGTTTCGGCCCTTTTCTTCTTTTTTTTTTTTTGACACACAATGAACACCAACTATATATGCTCAACATGATACAGAAGATGTATACAACACACTGTGTCCACTTAGTTTCAACATCTTTGAAATTTTTGTAAATTTTATTTCTATGCTTTAATAATATTAATATAATGCATACAATTGAATCTTTGATGATGTAGGATCTTATAATGAATGAACCTCATTGTATTGTTTCTCATATAGATGTAAACAGTGTAGGTGTGCTGACCATACAGTTTATCCTAAAAGGTTATTTTTGAGTAATTTGCTAACGTCAGCTTGTTTTGTTTCCCTGACTTTTTATAAAACTGTATTACATAGGTTAATTGGGTTTCTTACTGCAATTTTACTTTGTTAAAAAGTTTACAATAACATAATATTTAGTTTCACTGCCTTTTTGGTATGTGAGTTGAAACTCAGTAGCCTTTACGTGTATGTATAATGTTGTGGGTAACAGCATATAAAACTATGTATGTTCATTATTTGCTTGGTGATTTCATGGTATTACCCTTAAGTATGAGTTTAATTTTGTGTAGCCCAAACTAAAACAAAGCATTTACAATTTATAATACTACTATTACGTTTTCCTTTTTATTTTAAAGTGTAAATAAAAGCAAATTAAGGAGTCACCTTATTCCTGGGACTGTTTTAGTGCATCTTAAATGATCATTCATAAGAAAAAAATACTTCATATGCATACATTTCTTTAAAAAATTCAGGTAGAGTTATATATTAAATGATAATTTGTTGCTATATCACAGAAACTGTATTATAAACAGAATAAGAAAATACTAATTATTATCAAATTTCATGTATTTAACTTACATTTTTCCTGAGAGCAAATGTAGTTACTATGCTAGAATTGGAGATTCTGATGTTTTATGGCTTTTACAAAGGAAAATTCAACAAATTACATAAATCCTATATATTCTATCAGTGGAGACGTTGCTTCTTAAGTGCTGTTAATTAGACAGAATTTATATCTAGTGCTTTTCCCAAGTTAAGTTGCTAACATTTTTGTAGCTAACTAGAGTCTTCTGTAGATGAATGGTTAAGAGTCAAGGTCAAACCTGACTTTAGGCCTAAAATTAGCTTTACCAGCTTTGACATTGAAGGTACTTTTTGCTTCATCATACTATTCTCCTTTAGTTTTGTGGGGTGGTGGTGGTGGGATCAAGGCAATGAAATGTTCTAAAATACACCAGGATTCCACTATATGTTTAAATATTACCAGCTTATGAAGCAACATGCATAATATCATACAGATATATTTGATTCTTTCATGCATTGTTGTCTGTTTGAAAAATTACTTTGTTAAATGATTACTGTGAAATGTTATATTGTTTCTCTATTGTTTTTATAGTAAATCAGAATTCAGTATCTTTTTATATCTATATGAGTAACATTTTGGATATGTCTGTGTTTGAAGGAGGCTAAAGGAATAGTAGCATATAGGCTATGTTAGTTTTTTCAATTCTTACTTTCGATTGGGCAAGATACCTTCCACTTCTTCCCCATAACAAACAAAAAACAAATTACCACCAAACAATAAATCTGACATGCATTTAAAATGTTATCTAAACTACTTATACAGGTTACCATAGAATCTAAGGTAGTGTGAGTAGTTGCTATAGTTCAGGTAACTTGACAATTAACTTTAAATGCTCTAGGCCAGTGGTCAGCAAACTCATTAGTCAGCAGAGCCAAATATCAACAGAAATTTCTTTTGAGAGCCAAATTTTTTAAACTTAAACTTCTTCTAATGCCACTTCTTTAAAATAGACTTGCCCAGACCGTGGTATTTTGTGGAAGAGCCATACTCAAGGGGCCAAAGAGCTGCATGTGGCTCGCGAGCCTCGGTTTGCCGACCACTGCTCTAGGCCAATGCATGTGCTTATTTAACTTGGTGGGTTATTCAAATGTTTTTGCCCTATGTGCCTAATTACCATTGCCTTGTTTCCACAGCCGTAGAACCTTGGCCTGAAAATGCTACATTATATCAGCAACTGAAAGGTAGGAGCTTGTTCACAATTAAAAATGGCCTTGCATCAAAATATATCCATTACCAAAAAAATTCATTCAATAATATAATTTACTGCAAGGGGAACATAAAACATAAAGAAAAGGGCTTTCTTGTGTAACTTGTCTAGGAGATTTTGCCTAAACTTGTGTCTGCCAGTGTAAACCAACTATTCATGGCCTATAAGGTCCTTAGTTTATTATTGACTCATTATATTGGTTGCTGTAGGCAGTGTAAAATGATGTGGTTGCAGGAGCAGTTGGCAGATTTACTGCACCAATAGCTGACACAGCAGATTTTTGAAGTCCTGTGGTAAAGTGGGCTCTCAGTAAAAAGGAACTGTTAAAATGTATAGGCCAGGATGTTCAGGCTCCCTTTAGCAGCTCTTCATATATCATCAGATCACATTATGGACCCCATTTGGGGCTCAGCAGCCTGCTACAGTTGTCAGAAGACTGCAAAGTAATGAAGACTAATATGCAGCAGCCCTGGTCTTCTAAGCATGGAATTTTTATTGCAGTGAACTTGTCATCTTTCTTTTGTATGACAGACTTAGATGCACTGTGCAATATGAACTGCAAGCTGGTTTTATATTTCAAATAGTTTTATTTTTAACTAGAGAGGTTTGAGTACATACAAATAGTACTTAATTTTAAAATATATTTAATTTTAATGAAAAGAAGAATATCTTAAAAACTTGAAAAATGAGTTTGTTTTTAAGTGAGTGATTTTAATTATATGTTGCTGATAAAAAAATGTGATAAATAATCAGTTTTAGAGGAAATAGTCTTGTTTACATACAATGATAATACAATCAAAATTATAATTAAATAGTTTTGATCTAGAACTTAATATTTATGTTACTGAAAGGCTTTATCTTTTTAAAAATAAGAATAGCTTTTAAAAATAAAAATATAAGTATATCTGACTTGGTTAGCAATCATACCTTTTACTCAAACCTTTTATTGTATTTCCACAGGGGAGCAAATTTTGCTTTCTGACAATGCAGCTTCCCTTGCTGTGCAGGTAAAGATATAAATAATGTAACATTTTTTTCATTTTGAGTTGGAAATTCCTCCCCCCCCCACCCCCCGATAATTTGATGTTTAGAATTTTTGTGTTTTACAATAATATAATCTCTTCTGTTAAGGATAAGTTTATTATATAATATTACTCAGTTATTTGTTGTCAGTATATAAAATAAATATAACATTTTTATTATTTGTTCTTTTTATAAAAAATTACTTCTGTTTCTTAGTAGTTTTGCTTTTGGCTAGATACAATGGTGTTGATTTTTTTGGGGTGATATTTACAGACACCAGATTACTTTCTAACTTATTTGTGAAGATTTATTCACCACATATTTTAAAGCATCATTTTCTCATTATACTCATTATAACATTTTGATAATCTTAAAGCAGACATAATCTCCTCTAATAATCCTATCTAATAAAAGAGTAATATGCAAATTGTCCATCACACCAAGACACAAGATGGCTGCTCCTATGTGGACACAAGATGGCTGCCACAGGATGGCCTGCAGGGGAGGACAGTGTGGGGTAGTAAGGATGACCAGACCAGCAGAGAAGGGCAGTTGGTGTGACCAGGCCAGGAGAGGAGGGCAGTTGGGGAGACCAGGACAGCTAGGAAGGGCAGTTGGGGGGGGGCAGGCCTGCAGGGGAGGGCAGTTGGGGGAGACCAGGCCTACAGAAGAGGGCATTTGTGGGTGAATTAGGGGTGACCGGGTCAGCAGTGGAGGGCAGTTGGGGGGAACCAGGATTGCAGGGGAGGGCAGTTGGGGGGGGGGGGGAAGGCCTGTAGGGGAGAGGAGTTGGGGGGATCCAGGTCTGCAGGCAAGGGTGATTGGGGGGGGACTCAGAACAGGAGGGGAGGGCAGTTGGCAGGGACCAGATCTATAGGGGAGGGCAGTTGGGAGCCAGTAGTCCTGGATTGTGAGAGGGATGTCCGACCAACTGTTTAGGCTTGATCCCAGTGGCTGACCCTATGTGGACACAAGATGGCCACCACAAGATGGTCCAGTGGGATTGGGCCAAACGGGTGGTCGGACATCCCTCAAAGGGCTCCAGATTGGAGAGAGTGCAGGCTGAGTTGAGGGACACCCCACTTCCTGCACATGAATTTTGTGCACTGAGCCTCTAGTTTTTTTTATATATTTGCTAGAGGCCTGGTGCATGAAATTCATGCATGGAGGTGGGATGGGGGACCTCTCAGCATAGCCTGCACCCTCTCCAATCCTTGGAGGACATCTCTCTCAGATCGTGGACCACTGGCTCCTAAGTGCTCATCTGCCTTCCTGCCTAGTCACTCCTTACTGTGCGCCCCTTCCCCCACCCCACCGGCATGGTCGCCGCCCAGCTGCCCCTCTCTGCTGGCCTGGTCACCCTTAACTGCCATCCCTGCTTCTGGCCTGGTCGCCCCCAACTGCCTGCTCCCAACCAGCCTCGTCACCTCTCACTGCCCCCCCCCCGTGCTGCCAGCCTAATAATCCTCAACTGCTCCCCCTGCCGGCCTGGTCTCCCCCAACTTCCCCCCCTCCCTGCTGGCCTGGTCACCCCTCATGGTCCCCCGGATGGTCTGGTCACCATAGCTGTTCAGTCGTTTGGTCTCCTTACTAACCCCCCTGCAACCAGGTAGTATGCAGCCAGCCATCTTGTGAGGACGTGAAGGTCAGTTTGCATGTTACCTCTTTATTATATAGGATTGATTACATTAGTGTTTAACCCCCTGCCACTTATTGAATGCAATAGCTCTTTAAGTTGTATATCACAGTTGTATAATCCAAAAAAGATTAGTGGTCCTATAAATTTTAAATTGTACTATCGGAAGATAGGATATAGGAAGAATAAAGAAAATGGGGATTATTTACTTTAACAAAAGAAAGAAATGTTCATGTAGGTTATAGAATTATAATTATTCAAGCATTTTACATATCTGCTGTTTATTCAGTTAGCTTACATAATTTGAATTACAAAGATTTTTTTTTTTTTTGGTCCAGCATCTAAAAGATAACTTAAAAGAGAAATGTAAGACATGTGATATTTATTGGAGATGAGACTGAGCATCTTGAGGACAGAAAGGAAGAAAAGGAACTGTGAACTTCTGCCGTGTTCTAGGCATGATGTTAGGCACTTGGTTATCTCATCATATTTCTTTATTCACTTGGTATCCTCTGGGCTTAATAACTATGTCTAATACATAGTATATCATTTAATACATTTGTGTTTTATTTAAGATAGTGAAAGGAGAGATGAAAAGGAATGTATTGAACAGTAGCTTATTTGTATGAGTCTGAGTATCTTTAAGTTTCTTTTTGAAGATTTGTATCTTTTTAGAATATAAATTATGTTTATTTTATTTTATTTACCTTTATTTTATCTTTAGGCACTAGCATTATAACTAGTGTGTTTTCTTATGTTAACTTTGGAGAAGCAAACATTTTAGTTGGCTATAGACAATAAATATGGATTTTTATACTGCTATTTAATTTTTTAAAAAAATTATTTATTTTTGGTAAGGAAAATAGAATTTAAGTTTTGCTTTCAAATACTAATAACATGGTGCCTAGAATATAGAATGCACTTAGTAAATATTTGTTGAATGAAGGGTTTGTACATATGGGAAAAGCAATGTTACCTAGTAATTAATAGTATCAATAAATTATTTGTTGTGTATAAACTAGTATTTTCAATCTTTAAAACCTTGAAAAGATGGCTCATGGAACAGTGAATATTTTAGTCGAAGCACTAATTCTTAACCTTTTTTTAATTGCCATTTTTGGGATAACTCTTTCAGGATCTGATGAAACATTCCAGTCAACGCACACAAGTAAAAACATACCTAGACTATTCTGCATATGGTTTTAGGAAGTTTACTGATCTCTCTGCTGAAGCTGTTTGGGAACCCCCAAAGAAGAGTAGTTTAGGAAATAGTGAAATAATTTTCATTAAGGAAAGTATTTTGGATAGGAATACACCAATGGTTCTTAACTAAGGGAGGTTTCAACTCCACAGGGGACACTTGACCGTGTTTGGACATGTTCGGTTGTCTCACTGTTATGGGAGAGTGCTATTGGCATCTACTGGGTAGAGGATGCTCTAAGATGTTTAAGAGCCAGGGATGCTCTTAAACATCTTACAGCCTCTCCATAATAAAGGACTATCCAGCCCCAAATATACGTAGTGTCAATGTTGAGAAACCCTGGGATAGATGGCTTAATTAGTTTTCATAGCAAATTAAAATATTGGTATATTAGCGATAAAAAAATGAATGCCTTAAATAATCTGTGGGAGGGAAAAAAAATCTTGGTGTATACTTTATTTAGCAACTCTATTTTTATGGTTCCTGTTAATTTGCTTTCTCACCATGGCTTCTCAAATCATAGTTGCAATTAAAAATAAAACCAGGAAAAAAGGGACCTTTCAAAATGCAGAATTTTGCTTAACCATTTTCAATTGTTTTGTTATACTACATATGTCACTTAGATGATAAATTAACCAGCATATATTAAAAATTCTTGGTTTTCTTCAATATTTTTTGGCTTGACAGCTGATAGTAGCCATGACTATAAATGTGACTTTTCCAGATATCTGATGTAAACTTATGGAGTAATTTTCATCTATATAGTGGACCAGCATCCATTTAGAAGAATCAGTTAAATGTATAAAATTGATCAAAACAATGTGACAGATATCCATAAACTGGATATTTACTAGAAGATACCAGATATCATACATCATATATTTTAATAGTCTGTTAGTTAAGCAATCAGGAAATTTAAATTTTATTTACCACATAGAGTTGGCATTTATTATACCCCTGAAACTAAGTGGTTAGATCATTTTTGATTAAAGGAACCTTGATGATTTCAGTTTAAAAGGAAATAAAATTTTTTCTCATGGCTATTATTTCCTCTTAGATTCGTTTTTCTTTCCTCATTGACAAAGTATTGGTATTACCTCAAGTATTTGCCTGGTCATAAAATAATTTCATGTGTTGAATATAGTGAGTATTAGTGTAGTGTGTGTTTCTCTGTTTTTCATGATATATACATATATACATATGTACATACATACATACATGTAACTAGGCATATATACACACATATACTACACACACACAGTGAGAGAGAAACTTTCCATTTTATAATACTTTCACTTTGAAGGAATTAAGCTTATATTGATTGGTAAAAGAATTTTGATAATAATTTTCTGTGTCTACTCATATCCCTAACTTAACCAATTAATTATTTAATAGATATTTATCTATATAAAAGAAAAGCAACTGGTTGACCGAATGACCGGTAGCTATGAAGTGCAATGACCATGCTCAACACAGGGGGCAGATGCTCAATGAAGGAGCTGCCCCCCTGGTGATCAGTGTGTTCCCACAGCAGGAGTGCTGCTCAGCTGACCAACCTGTCCTGGCAGCCCACCAGCCTGCAGCAGCCACTCTTCCTCAGTAGTTCTGCAGGTCCAATTTCCAGAGAACAGGCCAGGCAATGATGGACCGGCACCGCTGGCATGATTCCAACAGCACCACCAGTCTCCTGGAAGTTGGCCTTGGGCACTGTGGCCATTGCCCCTCCCTAGACACTCTGTAAGGAAGAAACGTTATAAAAACAGCCTCCTGGTGGCTCCTGACAACTGGCATGAATGTGAGGGAGATGAATCTCGGGCTGGCAAGGGTGTCCCACCACCTGCCCGAAGGGCCTATCGCATCCTGGGCCCCCTATCTCCCTCGGGACAGGTGCTAGATTCAGAGTTCATGGCTGGCAAGTGCCACGACAGCAGCACAAGCCTCTCCCAATCAGAACTGACTGGGTGGGAGCCCACTGGCAGGTGCAATGGGGCCAGAATGAGGGGGAACAGCCGGCGGCCAGGCCAAGGTACCGCATGGTGCATGAATCCATGTACCGGGCCTCTAGTATGCATATAAGATCTTTGGTTAACCTCTTCCCGTCCTTCCCCTCCCCTTCCCTTTGAGATTCATCAATCTGTTCCATGTTT